GTGTGTGTGTGTGTGTGTGTGTGTGTGTGTGTGTGTGTGTGTGTGATGGAGGGGAGGGAGATTGTCATGCTAAATTGTTATCTTAAGTGGAAACAAGTTTAGCCTGACTCTCTGACCTCCTATCTGGTGCACAGGAGGGTTGTGTTTAGGTGATGCTACACCAGAGGAATGTTGCTGGTCATCACTGAGTGATGAAGAGGGGCTGAACGCTGCTCAGCTCCTCTGACATGAAACAACTTCTTGAATTATGCTCAGCTCTCCGGTCCACCAGAGACAGCATTTATTTCCTGAATTAGTAAAAAGGGAGTCGCTCTACCTCTGGCTCTGGTTCTGCAAGCAGCCGGAGCATGTGTTTGTTCCAGGAGAAGCTTGATGGTTCTGTTTCACTTCAGCTGAAGTCAGGAATAGAGTTACTGGAAACCAGCAGCTTCAGTGCAGTCATCAGTCAGGTTTCTTTGTCACGTCTGAGCCCATCTGTAAAGACAGTTTGCACAGGATTGCTCGCCAACTGCTCGCCAACTGCTTTCCCTGCCATCGCTTGGCACCTCCAGTCAGATAAACTCAGATTTAGGGTCTGAGTCACTCCGTCATGATGTCATCGCTTAGAGAATCGTGTTTGTCTTTGCATCAGATACAGATTGAAGTAATGTGAGGGAGGGTTCCCCCCATCAGTGGTCCAGCAGTGACATCATCCCTGCAGCTGTTCAGCAGCTCGCTGTTGTCCTGCAGCCCGGCCTGGTCCAGTCTGAAGGTGCCGGTCCGTTTCATTCTGGGCTGGATGTTATCTGAATGAAGCCAGGAACGAGCCAAACACCCAGTTTTACTGCTGATCTGCAGACTAAACTATGCTGTGCATCAAACAGATTCACTAAAAACAGTTGAACATTTTCATCTGGTTCCACGGCTTTTTGTGAGGATTTATTTCCACCGTTTTTCTCTTCTAACCCGTCGTTCTTGGTGTGTGTCTGTGATTTTCTCTCAAACCTCAGCGTTGATGCCTAAAGGGCTCGACACACGGTGAGTGACAAACTACAGCGATTAACGGCTGTCATCACAGCCAGGGTGAAACCCGACACACGGGACGCGATAGCGATCGCAGCGTTGCAAATCACGCTCTCAGATCGCTTGTCTTCACAAAATTTGATTGGATCTTGACTCTGAAGGGGGGTGTGCATTACGGACGTGTAAACTAAACAAATCTTGCGATGCTAATGATATTGAAAAACAAACACACTTCAAGATACAGTTTTATGAGGAAAAACTTACCATAAACTTCACCCTGGTGCCAATAAATTCCCACAAAGCTTTTTAGTAATCACTTGGTGAAAGTGTTAGCTAACTGAAGTGTGTAGCATACTCTCCTCTCATTGGTCAGTCAATGAAACCCTCGCTGATTGGTTGTACGCTAAGCGACAGTGACACTATTTTCGCCGGTCGCTTAGCTGGAGGAGGACAAGCGATTGTCGCCTCACCGCACAGGCTCCATAGGAAATGAATGGAGAGCGAGCGACGTCGCCCCCTGTGTGTCGAGCCCTTAAGGCCCTGTCACATTAGAACATTTTAAACAACTTATGCTGACTCAGGAAAATTCTGTTGACTATTTTACTCATATCGGCCTTTTGAGTTCAATCTAACTGCTAGCATTACAGTATGCACAGGTCCAAAAGAAGCTTCCAGTGGATTATTTTTATTTTTATTTCCTTCTTCAGCTTCAACATCTTTAGTGTTGTACAAACTTTTCATAAGCAAGGTTATAATAGTTTTAGATTTTTCATTATAGTTTAGTTTTATTTTGTTGTGACTTTTTTCTTTTAATTCAGTTTGTTTAAATTAGTTTTTACAGTGGATTTGCTAGTTTTCATTAGTTATTGTTGCATTTTTAATGTAGGTGTTGGAAAATATGCGTTGTTCAAAATTACTTGTCCCAATAAACAAGAATCAGCTGGATTTCTTCTTTAAAACTTTATTTTTAAGTCTTCTGACTCCAATCAGGTTCACAGCAGCACTCCAGCATACAGGCCTCAGTAAGACCTTCAGCCGAATCAAAACAAACACCAGAGCTCTGCAAAACACTGATAACTTCTTTCACTATAATAATGAATTTAGCTTATAATCATGCCTTCCTGGTTACACCCCAGGAGGTGTTACCTTTTACGTCAGACGTCAGAACGTCACTCAGTTTTGTTTAGGCTAAGAAAGAACACACGATAACTTACACACCAACTTTTATTCTGTTATGGCCTTAAAGCTGCAATGATCAGAAAATATAAAATACAAAACTGAATCTAATATTCAATTAATCAGTTAGAAAATTTCTTCATAGGGATGTCCCAATCCAGATTTTTTGGCTCCCAATACAATCCGAATTTTTAATGATTAGTCTTTCGATACCGATCAGATACTGATCCGATAGCTTTATTTATTTATTTATTTCCAAGTGACAAGGTTGGTAGTATTAAAGCGAGCCCTGCTGTTCCCACCACCAAAAACATCCAGTTTGCAGATTTTGCATCAGATTTTGCATTTTCTTTCAATTTTGCATCATTGTTTTCCATTCAAGTGTTCCCACACTGTGGTCATGGTTGCATACTTATGTGCGTCTTGACTTCGTAACGGCAGTTGTAAAGCATGATGATGCTGAAAACTGGATCAGCCCGATCACGTGACTAAATCCGGTTCTACCAGATTTTCAAAAAATGGTCATATCTGCCACTGATACCGATACTGAGTATCTGATCAGGACATCCCTAGTTTAATGCTTAGCTTTAGTTTAGTTTTTATTAGTTCTAGTATTATTTTTATAGTTTGAATATTTGCCAATGCATCCAGCTTGTGATATTTCTGGGAGTTCACTAACCAGCAGCTATTTGGTCACTAGTTAAAGCGGTTCATTATAGCGACACCTTCCTAAAATAACTGCGTAACTCAATTTTTCCAACTAAAAACTTGGGTGATTATTTTAGGACGATGACAATAGTTTTCTCCAACCTGGTGCTACATGTTTGTTTTTCATGGGAGCTACTGAGAGAAGCTAACGTGTCAAGATAGTCATAGTTAGCATCTTGTGTGAGCTTGATTCATGCAGTTTTTACCTGGAGAAGTATTCCACCTGTTTTATCACCTGTTTCCACTACAAGACAATTGCTTTTATTTTTCTCACAGTCATATTCAAAGAAATCACGAAGAAGACTCTTTCTCCCAACTTTTGTTATCATTTAGCAGACGATGCTGAGCAGCAGCAGACTGTAAACAAGTGTTGTTACGGACCATGAGGTGCCAAAGGCTGCCCACAGCTAATGTGAAACTGCTCAGTTAAAAAAAAAAGATCTTCATGTCTCAAATTAAATTGACAAAAACTAAACTAAGGATATTCTTTCTGTAATTTCAGTTTGTTTTAGTTAGTTTTGTAAAGATTATACAATTTCATTTAGTTATTGTTTTTTCATTTTATTAGTTTATTTATTTTAGTTAATTAAAATGTTTTTCAATTTCCATTTTCGTTATTTAGTTAGTTTTAGTTAACTATAATAACCCTGTTCATAAGTTGGTGTAAGTTGTCTAAAATATTAAAGTGAGACAGGGTCTTTAATTTAACAAGGCTGCCAGAAATTACTTTTTAATTTTGATTATTATCCGCTAATTTATTTTAAAAAAATGTTGTTTTTATTTTTTAAAGTAAACTTTGGAATTTACAGTTTAGCCCAACATAAAATATAAATGAAACCCTGCAAATTTCAGTATGTAACGTAGATTTAAAGTTCAAACTCCAGCATGACAAATAAAATAAAGCCTTTTTTTGTATTAAAACTTAAGCCTGAATATTCAGCATACTGGTTTCTTTAACAGGAAGTAAAAACAGATCCTGCAGAGTGAACTAACCAGCGTTTAAATGTCATGGTGTTACTTTCATACAAACTCCTTTGACCTTTAAAAACCTTTATAACCCGACTGTTGCAGACCGTTTTTCTAAAGGGGGGTTCTAAAGACGTGTCTACATTTGACTTTCATTTCTTTCTAAAATCACAGAGTTCTCTGAGTCAGCTTCAGGTGTTAAATATCTTCTAAATTTAACCAGGTGTTTTAATGCCTTTTTAATTACACAATAATTTTAGTGGAGAAACTGTCAGTTTGGTTAAATAAACAGTAAATATATATATTTTTTTCTGTGCAGAGAACGTTCTCTGCTATAATTTTTTTAAATAAATATATCAAAGCTCCTCAGTTGAAAACACTAAAATGACAGAAGAGCTGTTTAAAAACCTCTTGCCTCAGAAAGTCTTCAGTCCTAAGAACAATAAACTAACTTTTAATAAGGACATATAGGCAGTATACTCCTATTTAAATGAAAATGTTTGACCTGTAAGCAGAAAGCTTATGGATGTTGGATGTTGATTTTTGCTCTCTATTTCAAAGAGGATGAGGAGGAAGTTTTACTCAAGCAGCTCCTGAAACTGTCAACCTGCTGACTAAGAATATTTGTATACAGTAAACTTTGTATACAGAGCAATAAACTTATTAAATTACAAATTTATTGAAAAATTTTTGGACAACCAAAATGTTTTGCAGACAACCAGATTTTGTCCTGTTTACCCAATCACACACAACTTGTCATTGTCTCTGCGACTTATCTACCTGAGGAATCATCACAGGCGAGTTGTTCTGAAACTCTGGTCATAAAATTAGAATATCATGAAAGAGTTGATTTATTTCAGCAGTTACATTTAAAAAGTGAAAAATATTATATTCACACAGACTGTTTCAAATTTATTTCCATTTTTGTGATTATAACTGACAACTAATGAAAACACCAAATTCAGTATCTCAGAAAATGAGAATATTGTGAAAAGGTTCAATATTAAAAACAACTGGTGTCACACTCTAATCAGCTAATTAACTCGAAACACCTGCAAAGGTCTTCAAATGGTCTCAGTTTCATTCTGTAGGTGACACAATCATGGGTAAGACTGCTGACTTGACAGTTGTCCAAAAGATGACCATTGTCACCTTGGACAAGGAGGACAAGACACAAAAAGTCATCGCTAAAGGAGTAGAAAAGAGGGAGATATAAGGGAAATAAAAATTAACGACCTCATTCTAATTTATCATGTGATTCATTGCTTATCACAACAGGCCTATTTGTGTTTAAGTTTTATTGAGTTGCAGGACTTTTGTTGTTTTTACAGAGTTTATGTCCAGTTAATGTTCACCTGATCGTCAGTGTATACGGAATCAGATTTTTGCATATTTTCAAATGACTGAGTTGTTAATTTATTGTTCTCTCAATGTTTTATTTTTCACATTTAGAAAGCCCCGTAACTCCAGATACTCCAAACAGTGAAGCAAGACTGTGCACCAGCAGCAGCCGCCTTGCAGCCCTAAAACGGCAGAATGACATCGAGCTGAAGGTGAAACAGGGAGCCGAGAACATGATCCTGATGTACTCCAACGGGTCCTCCAAGGTAAGCCCGGCTCAGGGAGGGTTCACCTGACAGTCAGGTTTTGGCTGCTTTGTGTCGCGCTGTCAGACTTGTAAAATCAGAGGCAACAGTTAAACTAAATCAAGTCCAGATTCAGGTTTTTAATTCTGACTTGCTGGATTAGGATTACACCTCCCACATTGATTACTAGGATTTCGTTAACCCACAACCAATCAGCTGAAGTTTACTGACTAAATGTTAAAACTGCTGCCTTGTTCAGTGGTTTTCTTCCTGTAGACCAAATGGTAAATGGTAAATGGACTGTACTTATATAGTGCCTTTCTATCCATCCTCGACACTCAAAGCGCTTCACACTACAGGCATTCACCCATGCACACACACATTCACACAATGATGATGGTAAACTACAGTTGTAGCCACAGCTGCCCTGGGGCACACTGACAGAGGCGAGGCTGCCATACACCGGCGCCACCAGACCCTCTGACCACCATCAGTAGGCAAGGCGGGGTTAGGTTAGGCTTAATCACTCTACAGCGCCCCATGCAATTATTTAAAAAAATTGCGCCAATCCATGCTTGGACCTGGAAGCATAAAATTTGAAATGTGGTACAACTGTGTAATGTCTCAGGACCTAATAAAAAGTCTCTTGGAGTCATGGTCCAAACGCCACAGGAAGTCAGCCATTTTTGATCAAAGCTGCCAGTTTGTCTGAACATGCAGACTTACTGCCRGCTTCTCTCAACACCGACTGGTGATGGTGTAAGAAAATTTAGTGTTCAATAACTGAAGTCGATACAAAAACACAACAGTTGAATAAATTGAAATGTAAAAGGAATGAGGACCATACAAACACCAGTGACGGGAATATGAACGGTGGTTTAATGCTGTTCAAGCAAGCAGGAAACCAACGCTGACAAGAAACCGGAAGTTCCAGCATTTATRCACTTTCTTTAGTGCCTGGTCCGCCATCTACTGGCCTGAGGCTGAATCGCAGGCACTCTGAACAGCAATTACTCACCTAATGTTTTATAAATGTTTCTTATGTGTTGTAAAAATGTTTCGGACATGTATCTAAACTATTTTAATCAAGACATAATAGTTAAACAATGGATTGTAACAGTCAATACTTAAAAAGGAAAACTAAGAAAATGGTGTAGTGCTTTTAAAATCAGTTACTAACCTGAATAAATTTCTTCAGTGGTGTGGGTGTGGCAGAGTGGTGAATGCTGATGCCTCGCTGTTTGCAGATGGTTAGCTCTAAATCACACATACGTGATCCTAGGGCAGGGCTATTCAACTGAATTACTCCGGGGGCAACTGTTACTGCAGGTCAACAGCTGAGGGGCCGAACATCCAGCAATTACATTTATTATGTAAATAAACCAATTATTACAAAGATCTGTTATCTTTGAAATAGTTTATTTTGCTGCATTTAATCATGAATACAACATACAGAACCCTATAAAAGTAGTCATAATTCAATAATATCAAAAACAAAAAGAACACATTAGACCTCATATTTGACACAAATATTATTTTGACGTCTCTGATTTGCCAAATTTTTAAACCAATTTTATTTTCACTTTCATAGTTCTATCTTCAATTGCTTGTAGTTTTAGCTGTCTTGAGTGTGCATAGAAATGGTTTATACCAGCTTGTAGCCGATGTTCTGACGTTTCTGTAGATACCAAACATGTCTATGTCCAACTAAAAGAACTTAGAGTAATTAAAGTAGAAAACTGGGGGTTTAGGCTTAAGAGATGAATGAACCAATTAGTGGGCCGAACTTTGGTCACTCGTGGGCCGGGTTTGACCCGCAGGCCACCAGTTGAATAGCCCTGATCTAGGAGTTGAGCCAACAATTCGACTAGTTGAGTCGTCGACTCTAGGAGATCTCGCGAGTTTTTWAATTTCACGTCGACTAGTCGCAGTCACGTGACTGCTGGCTACAAAGTGGATTCCAAGTAGATGGAAGTAGGCTGGAGGAGCAGGCAGAGTCTTTGCAAAGTGGAGCTAGAAAAGAGTAGAAATAAAGTAAATGCTGTCGCACCTCCTCCTCTGGATGTAACTAACAGACACAGAACCTCAGCCTGGAAATCTCTCCTCGTAGACAAAGCTGTTCTACCTTCACCTCCGCAGCTCTCCCACATCAGCCAGCAGCTGTCAGCCGCAGGTCGGCCAGATTATTGACTGATCAGTCAAGCAGTTTGAGCAAAACATGTCCATAGATTGACAGGCAGTTTTCTGAGCTGAAAGTTTCTTTTAACAGTGTCGCTCCATGCAGTGTTTCCTGCTTTAGAGAGAAAAAAAAGACAACTTTAACTGATCCCGCTCATCTCCCGGTCTTTGATTTGCTGCATTTTTATTTTATTTTTTATGTTTGTTTCTTTTTTGACGCATCGCAAGGTGACCGAGTCAAGAGCAGTACTGTGTGTGTGTGTGTGTGTGTGTGTGTGTGTGTGTGTTGCATTTTGCGTGCTAGGTGCATGTGGGACAGATCACAGATGCGCTGTGTTTCAGCGACATGCAATGTGCGTTGTGCTCATGTGGCCTTGTGTTGATCAGTCAGGACCTGGTTGTTGTGAGACAGGTGCAGTGATGGTTTTGTATAGGGCTGCAATGATGAATCGATTAATCGACAACTAATCGATTATTAAAATAATCGATGACTAATTTAATCATAGATTAATCACATTTTTTTTCTTAGTTTTTCTCTCCAAACTGCTTTGAAACCTTCCACTGCCACATCTGCCTTTCTGTCCTTGACACACATGCAC